CAAGAAAAAACTTCTTCTTTATCCTGTCTAAACCTGAGGATGATAATGACGAAGGAACTAAGTAACGGGTCTGCCACTCCCACTCAATTTCAAAGGAGCATCGTTCCCTGAACAGGGGTGAGATTGGGACAGCCATTGAAGGATTCAGAGAAAGTAAAGGAGGAGAAGAAACAGAAAAATAGTAAACCTGTAGGAGTCAAGAAGAGATTCCGAAGTAGAAGAAGGGTCCAAAAAGTTATAGCAAAATCGTAGAGACAACAAGCTTCAATGCAATCAAAGTATGCACGAAAACCAAAGTCGACGGACCTTTGGGTTTACTAATTAAATAAGGTGGTTATGCTTTTGAAAGGCAGTTGGGAAAAGCAAAAAAAAAAAAAAAACAATCAAGATACAGATATACAGGGAAAGGAGCTCAAAAGACCTCAGTATCAAGTTGCTTACTCTCCTTGCCAAATCCAGCAAACCTCTTCTCACTGAGGGAAACGATAAAGTAGCAATTTTGCTATTAAGGAGAACTGAATACTCCTCAAAGCAAAGGGGGCAAAGGGAGTACAGGGCGGTTTACACGAGCAGTTTAAACCACAGAACAATAAGAATAGATCTGAGAAGTGCAGAGTAAATTGCATTGAAGAGCAAGTTAGGTTGTAGTGTGTTGAGCAAATTCAAAAAGAAAAAATAAGTACATGACTTAAAAGGCGAGTCGGGAAAGTAAGGCAGATTTACATTCTCCAATAGAAGTTACAAATACTTTCCAACAAAAAAGATAAAAAATATAACAAAGATAGAAATAAAAAATCCTAAGTTTCTGAAGAGAGAGCAGGTGAAGAGTTCTGCAATGCAATTATTGCAGCTTCAGCAGCAGGAACAGAAGAAGAGCTCGGTAGCTCAGCAGGCGACCCTTCTGGCAAGGCAACAATTGAAATCTTAGAGGGCCAGGAACAGGCAAGGAGGCTGGGGCCTCAATCTTAGTCACAACTCTCGTTACCAGATCAACAGAAAAAGAAGTATTAGCAGGAACAGCTGGAGGAGTGGACATTTCAATACCTTCTAGAGCCCTATCAGAAACAGCAGGAGTCAAGGTGTTGTCATCGCCCCCTGAATTAGTCTCCTCCAACTCCTCCTCAATGGGGATGACAAAGTCAAAGTCGAGGTCTGGATAGGCCTTCTCCGCTTTGCATTGAAAGGCCAGCCATCCAAAGGCCCACTTGATGGTAACATCATCCTTCAGCTCGGCTATTATGTCATCTCTCTTCCTAACAGTAGTCTTCTGCACCTCGAGCTCACTACATAAGGTCTCGTTTGCCTCAGCTAGGATGACATACTTCTTTTTAAGGCCCTCGAGGAAACTCTGAGCATCAAAGGCTTCCTGGCTAGCTTTGGTCCAGACATTAGTTTTGAGTAGCAGCTCTTCCTTGGTTATCCTCAGCTCATCCCTGACCTTCTTCTCTCTTTCCTCAACCCTATCTTTGGCTGCTTGAAAGCCTTTGAGGTCAGAGGTCTGCTTCTCCTTTTGTTCCTTGAGCTCTTGCACCTGAGCTCTGAGGTTCTCGCTGTCAAAGGTCAACTCAGCGACCTTGAACTCGTATGTCTTCAATGCTTTAGCAGAATCCTCCGAAGATCGAACCCTACCCATCAAGTTCTTCAAATGGAGAGCCATCTGGGGGCAGAAAAGAAAACACGTGCAGATCAGCACAAGTCAACTGAACCGAGCTAAATGGGAGAGTAAAAACACTTACAGTGGCTGCTCCCTGGAGAGCTGAGCAGAAAGAGGCCTCAGGGGGCATGGCAGAGGCCCTCTGAATATCGGATTCAGGAATAATTGATGAAATGGCCCCAACAGCCAACTCAGCATTATCAAAGAAGTAGTCTTCATCAGTCTCCCGATCCTCCCTCTTTTCGACTTTGGGGCTCCAGAGAGGCAGCTGGGATGGTCCAGGAGGATTGGGGTTTGACTGAATTCCAGTAATCAGCCCCAAGGCTCCCTCAACCTCAGAAGAAGTGGGGGAAGCCAACCCTGGCTCAGAAGCCTTTTTGGGAGCAAGTTGAGCCCCTTAAAGAGAGGAGGTTGCCGGGGATTGAGATGAGGGAGTTTGTCTTTCTTTGCTCAAGGCAGGAGAAGAAGGCACTCCCAACTTTTGTACCTTAGCCCTGTCAACGAGGCTGCCTCCAGAGCTGGTCTCAGCCTTTCGTTTGCTATTCCTCCTATTCTTCTTTAATAGGTCAACCTTAGCCTAAAGTTCCTTAGGAGTAGATTTCATTATGGAGGAACCTGGAAGATCTGAACCAAGCAAGTTAAACAGAAAATAGGAAAAAGAGGTGAAGGCAAGGAAACCAATTCAAAAAGTGTTACCTTCTACGTCTTCAGGTCTAACAATAGAAATGGGGAGCGGAGCTTCTATCGATACCTCAAGAGGACTAAATCCCTGTGTTACTAAAACCCAGGGCTTGATGAGCTCGGAGTATTTCTCTGGGTTACATTTCCCCAACTTCCGCTTCACTTTTTTCGTCCTCAGCACTGAGTTCAGGTCGAATGCCTGAAAAACAATACAAGGAGAGCAAAGGTCAAAAAGGCAACTCAATAATTTTCAAACCAGAAGTCAATCAGTTCGAGCAAAGACTCACCTAAGTTATCAGGGGTGGACCAGGCTCTAGGGATACCAAGAGTGTCAGTCCTATCAGCAGGGTTGTACTCCCAGTTGGTGCCCCCAACGAAAAAGAATTGTTTATTCCAATCCTTATGGGAGCTCGGGAGGTGAGTAATGATCTACCTAGCCGTGGTTCGCTTGAAGATATACAAGAAACCCTCAGATGAGGTGAGCTTGACATTAAAAAGATCCACAAGCAAGGAAAGACTGAAAACCCCGAGCTCATGTTTCTTAAATAAGACTAGAAGACCCACCAGTACACCCTAGAAATTAGGGGAGAGTTGAGCAGGGCAAACGTTGAAGTGTTGCAAAACAATCTTGATGAAGGGGTGCATTAGGAAGTGAAGTTCATTCTCAAAAACGGTCACGAAAAAATAGACTTTCTTATGAACTTGGGCAACATATGAGGTGTATTTATCTAGACACCAGGGCTGGACACCAGGAGGAAAATCGTAACGACCACTAAAAATTTTCATAAGAGAAGGGTCAACCTCGCTAGGTCCTACGAGTTCAGCATGCCTAAAGGCAGCCCCTGTGCCCTCTGCGCTGTCAGAGACTCCTACCCCACTCACCTTGCCCTTACCTTTGTTAGGATTAGGAGGCACAGAAGAAGACGATGGGGGTGATTCCTCAGTATTCTCTTCGGCGTCGGCAACATTAACACCGGGGAAATTGTCGATTTCCTCGCCCATATCTCCTAAATCAGTGTCCTCTTCGATAGACCTTTCTCCCAAGAGAGAAACGGAGGAGCGAGCTCTGGAAGGGGTAGACATGATTGGACAGGAGAAAGGTAAATTAAAAGAACGGTAGAGGTGGGGATACTAGTAAGGCACTCCCTGATAACCCTAGGGTCAACACAGTAGCTTCCAACACCGAGAATTCGCACGATAGAGCCCCAGTCCATGAAGTGGGGAAGAGGGGACATGCAACAGTTTTTGTTCCAGAGATAAAATAACCGATAAACCCAGAAATGCAATAACCATCTCGAACTCGAGGGATCCAGCACGAGAAAAGGCAAAAAAGGGGGCAAAAGAGGCGTACCTAGTTAGGAAAGAGCAACAACCCAGAGCGTAATTGAAGAAAGAAGGCAATGCGGGTCTTCAAATCGAACCCAGGAAACTCGATCTTGAGTAAAGAATCAGAGAACTTCAAATCAGAAAGCCAAGAGACTGCAAGAAAGGAAAGACAACAAAGAAACCAAACAGTGAAAAATGGCAATTCTGATAGAGTATTTAAATCTTGAGAGATGTGGCTGAAGTGTGCGCGGGAACCGAGGAGGCCATGATTGCTGAAAACCGTCAAAAAGGCACCTATCACGTGCAAGCCAAAGACAACCATGTACAAGCCCAACTTTGTTTAAAAACAGCTTAACCCTTGCCTAAGCTCGCTTGGACCAGAGGCTGGGGGGTAACTGATGATACCTCAAATAAGTTATAAGAGCGAACTCAGGAAACGAGATCAGGTCAGGAGGTCTGGTAGGATACAAGGAGCTTAGAAGTCCAGGACCCGAGCTCCCCCTAGGGAGATGATAACGGAACTGACTAGGGAACAGCTGGATAACCGCAAAGATTGGGTTCAAAGCATGAGACTCTCAACCAACCAAGATTTTCTCCTAAAATCAAGAAGAATCCCGCTAATGACAGGCGAAGATCTCGGCTAAGATCTTACAGAATAGGAAATAGTCCTATAAATACTATGTAACGCCTCCATAGAGAAGGAGAGAGAAAAAAACCTAATTTTGAGATATACGTAATTGTAATACATTTGAGTGGTGAGTAGAGGAAATGGAGCAAGAGCCTCCATTGAAGAAGTGGACTAGTCGAGCTCCTGAACCGATGAACTACTATATTTTCACTCTGTGCACCCCTCAAATCCCCTCTGCATTTTGTTCTAGCATCACACACGAGCCTTATAACTCTGATTCACGCTCATCACACGTCACCTGCCCTTTTGCTCATCAACATGGTCATCCACCATCAATCCAATTTTCATTTTTTTTGTTTGTTGAAATTCAAATTTCACACTAGTTCAAATTTGAATTTTGGGCTGCCCATAAAAGGATATATCTATACTTCTAAGTTGCATCTAATCAATGGTGATTGAAAATAAATACCCAGACTTCATTAGCATTCCATATTTAGAAAATTTGTAATTCCTGTATTCATTACATCCAAAATCTAGTCATTAGTGTCTTCATGTGAGAAAGTATAAACAGTGTTTTGGCTCACCAGACAGATTATAATGCACAGCTTAAAATGTATAATACATCCTTGACATTGCAATGGAAATACTTTTAACTAAAACAAACAAAATTTGAGAAACATGATTAAAAAAAAATAGAGATAGTGCCAGACCTTAAATGGTGATCACAGGAGTGTCTGTTATATCAGTGTGATCAATATCATCAGTGGAATCCGAGGCCACCTTGGCAAGCCTAAGAAGACTCCCAGTGGCTAAAATTGCTTTAGGGTTGATATCATGCAAAGACCTTGCATAGAGACTCCTACATGCAGCACAGGCAATCTCATGCAGCTCCTTGTCCTTATGAGGACCCATTAGGCAGTGACCCAAAATCCTCAAAACTGGTTGCAGAAGCTCCCATGGCAGAGGCACTCTTCCTTCCTTTTCTCCTCTTTCCTTCTCAATAGTATCATCTCCTGTTGTGATTTTACCTGTGAGAATACCACATTGAATAATAAAAGTACTGAAAGTATGATACTTTCGATATGTTTTTATTAGAGATGAGACAATAATAACAGAGATCCAACAATATCTAAACATATTTTAAGCTAACTTACCAATTCTTATCATGTCGGTTTGTGTAGTCTCAAAATTTTCAACTCTTACCTGATTCATTTACAATCACATATAACCAAATTCGTGGTTAGTTGAATTTGTTGTCTATCGTTCGTGCTGTGTATAAACCTTGTACAAGTCGTGTTTAGAGGCTCCATGCTATGTTTAGTAAATCTAGTGTTGACACTGATGGGTTTAATCAATTTACTCGTTTATTATTCAAACTTTTGAATCATGTCCGAAATTGACAACCATAACATAAATCTAATATTTTTAGTCCGTGGACGTAATTAGGATGTGTAGAACATATTTTTCGTTTTATTTGTTTCCCTTTCATATTTTCACTTGTTTTCTAGCATCAAATTCAAATAGTATAACCAGAATAATTTCAACATGGCCATTTTCACTGTTTTGAGACTCACCCATTTCACAGTCCGGCCCATCTTTGTACATTTCTCCATCTTCACCAGCCCAGATTGAACAAAACTGACAGAAATCAATCTTGGAACCCACTGGGATTTGAGATATTTTACTGTAGTACAACTCCAGAGCAACCCCAACAATTCTCGCCCTTCTGGTTGATCTCACAGTGCCATGGGGCTCTAAACTCGGAGAAATTACCGTTAGATTCAGCTCTGTAGAACTGTTCCTCGAGCTTTGTTTCGTTTCATGGTATATACTCGAGTGACCCAGGTCTGGAATGCTCACTGTAATCGCTTGGCCATCCCGAGAAGCGGTCTCGTGGGCGTAGAGAGCCAAGAGAACAGCTTCGAAGCCGGCGAGAGGTTTCCGGCGAGCGACGCGAGAGAGATAAACCCCGGCGATGATGGGGAGGAATCGGAGGACGACGAGCTGGAGGTCGGGTTGGGAGGATTGGAAAGTGTCGTAGAGCCACCGACAGAGGTGGTTATCCCCGGCGCCGGAGTCGGGTTGGCGGAGGTGTCGTGAGATTTGGGCGGCGATTTCTGGGTCGTGGAGGAGAGAGAGGGCGGGGGTTTCGGAGGAGAAGAGAGAAGGGATGATGAATGGGAGGATTGAGGAGAGGGTTTCAATGGCGGTCTGGGCTTTGGTGTATGAGTCTGACCATGAGATGTGAGGACTGGCGGGGGTGCTGGTGGGGGAGTTTGGGATGGTGGGTTGTGGGGTGGAGATTGGATCAAGGGAGGCGTCGATAGACATTGTCTGTGTATGTGAGAGAGAGAGAGAGAGCTTCTGCCCTTTGAGGTGTTGATAGACAGAACGTAAGGAAGATGAAATAAATTTCAGTTAAATTTACAGAGAAGATTGAGGAGGAAAAAGAGGATCGTCAACTAGGAAAGTTGCCGTTCAAAAAAACTAGGGAAGTTGGAGTCAGTTTCTCCTCAACATTTTTTTTTTCTATTTCTTTAAAAAATTAGACACCATATGTGATTGACGTGGGTCCATCCAATATTAATATTGGAGGAATTGTTTTTTCAGAGAAATTTTAAAAAAAATGTTAGCCGAGTTTGGATCCAAATATTATTATAATTACAAGTTACTATGTGCGAGATTTACAATTGCTCTAAATTGTCACCCTTATGCTTATATCCACCCGATCCACCGTCAACCCACCCCAATATAAATGTAAAATAATGGTAAAAGATAGTGAAAATTTAAATATAAAATAGTTAACAAAGATTGTAGGAGTTATTTCCTAGGCAACATGAAAGAGTTTAATTGGAGGGAATTGACGGACCGGCCCAAACCAAGCTCAAATTAGAAATGCAAATCAGGTCCAAATAAGAAATATAGATTAAGTTTAAATTACAGATACAGAACAACAAAAATTCAGTCACAATTGGTATGTTACTAGGCCCAATTTTCTAATAAGCCTAGTACATCATCAACGCAAGTGGGAGTTTCCATCAAAGGAGAAGAAATCATGGGTACACAATCATCAGGAACACATCATCACCCTTACAAGATTATCTCGTCTATTACAAGGTAGAGCGATCTTAAAGGAATCACTCCTCTATCACATCACTCGTTATAAGGAAAAAGTGAGACTCATGACATCACCTCACTTCTTGTAAGGATAGCGCCTCAATTAGAGCGCTTCGGAGTCAACTTTGTTTCTTTATAAATTGTAAACTCTGCCTACACATGGGGGGATAACACACTACACTTTGAGCAATAAGATTCTTTAGCCACCGTAGTCCTTCCTAGCGGAGTAGGTCACCTAGTCCAAATCTCTTTGCTGGTGTCGACTCATTCTTACTTCATCCATTGATTGATTTTGCACAAACACTTTTGTGCATCATCAAGAATTATTTAAATAAATTCTAACCCAAAAAAGAAAAAGAATTATTTAAATAGTTCTACATTAAAAATTAACATTTGAGAAGAGAAGACTTCTCAAACTCTATCTCATAGAGTTCAATAATATAGTAAGTAAATAAAAATTTTAAGAAAGAAAAAGTGAGGAAAAGTTTCTCAAACTACATCCCATCTAATTTTAACTATACAATTATTAATTAGACTTTTTTATTGAGATGATTTCATTTAATATATCATTAAATCAAAATATTTAATCAAAATTTCAAAACCCAAAATATTGTTCGGCAAATCAATTTTTCTTCAATATTATATCTCCTCATTATTCGCACAATCCAGTTAAATCATCATTTATCGGGTCAATGTCATGTGTTGATTGATTTAATTTCTTCTAATATTTTTTTTAATTTTTATTCTTCATAAATTACTTAATCATATAATGATGAAAATTTTATCTATATTTAATAGGTCTCACTCAAATATATGACACGTGATTTATTAAAATTAAAAAAAATATAAAAGGACAAATATCTAAAAGAATCTCATACATCAACTTTTTGCAGCCAATTCCGAATCCGTGGTATCAGTGTTAAAACTGGATTTGGACCTAAGAAATGATATGTCCATGGAATAGAAATTTCCTAATTACTGGGTACATTTGAGTCCGTCAATATTAGTTTAGCTATTGTGCTTCAATGTGAAACCTACATTAAAAAAATAGTGTTGTAAAAAATGGTTTGGATAAAGTACTTTTTAGTAATTTTGGGATTAAATAAAAGTGGAACACATACTTCTAAATTGGCGTAATCATGTTTAAATGTGTTCTCATCCACGAAGAGATTAATGTGATATATTTATTTGTTCAAAATCATTATGTATTGAATGAGAAATGGTAAATGGTAAATTTTACTCACACCCCTTGGATGCAGGTTATATTTCACTAATTTTCTTTTAATTTTTGAAATATCACTGACCATTCCTGTTAGTTTTTATCGATTAATAGTGATAACGAAAACATAACTTTACTATATCACCTTTACCGGGACTCCCACATATTATTACATTTTTATTTTTTTTATTTTTTTCTCCTATTACTACCCAGCATAACCATAATTATAGAACTTTTTTTATTATGCGAAGAGTTTATTTGTTTATTTTACAAACAATCATTATTAACATAATTACATCATATTCATATAAAATTAATAGTCAATTTAATTAAATTAATATTAAATTTTTTCCAACTCAAATAAAATTTAATCAAATCAACACCAAATTAATATTTCATTTTGTCAAATTAATACAAAAGTTACCATCAAATTCTTCAAAGTAACATTGAATTTTGTCAAATTAACATACAATTTTATAAAATTAACATTGCATCCGCCCAATTGTCATTCAATTTTATCTAACTAAAAAAATTATCAAATTAACATCAAATTGGTCTCTAATTTCATCAAATAAATATTCATTTTTCTCAAATAAACCATTAATTTCACCAAAGTAATACTAATTTGATATTTTATTTCATTAATAATATGAAATTGATCTTAAATTTTATCAAAAAAACACTATATTTCATAAAATTACCTGTCAAATTAATCAAATTAACAAGTGAACTTTCAATCTCACTCAATTTAATCAAATTAACACCAAAATTTAATCTCATCACTTTAACATTTAATTTTATCAAATTAAAATTATTTTATTAATTTGACACTAAATTAAAATTTACCTTTATCAACACCAAAATAACCTTTAATTTTATCAATTTGACATTCAATTTTATCAAATTAATATTTAGTATCACCAAATTAACACTTTATTTTATTTCATTAATTTTTAATTGGGTAAATTACACTGACATCCCTGTAGATTGGTCTAATTACAAAGACACCCTCTAGATTTTCTAAAATTACATTGACACCTCTTATTGTTTACCTACTCATTTCACAAAGTACCCCTATGGTTAGTATAGTTATTGACAATGACAAAAAAGTGATTACATCATCAACTTTTTACACTTTAATACCAATATTAGCTAGAGAAAATTAAGCTAACTTGTTTTTTTTTTTTTTTGTGTTTGTATTTGTGTTTTTTTTTTTATTGATAACGTGGAACCTCCCCAAGCTAGGCCCATTTTCGATCCATCCCTGCGAGAGTAAACCCCGGATACCTACACTCACCCATAAACAATAGGTATCACTTAAGCTTGAGAGACACCAGTGAGAGTCGAACCCCTGACATCCGAGTCTACGATTTGTCTGGGTTCAACTCCACATTGTTGGGAGACCCGTGTATCTGTATTCGTGTTGATGCATATAAACTTTAAATAAAAAAAAAATTTAACGTTAAGATTTAAGTTTAAAATTCTATTATCATTTAATTGAATTCATGCTCATAATTTTTCTATGAACTAAAAATCAACTTAATAAACATAACAATAATAATAAGTAAAAATATATTTTCTATAAAATAATTATGTTAGTACTTAATAAACATTAATAAATAAATAAAATTTTATTTTTATAATACCAATTAAATATGTTGATCGTGTCAATTACGTGTTATTTATGTTACCATACAAATGAAAAAATAGAGAAAGTTCGACACGATTAAACAAACGAGTTGATTGTGCCAATTTCGGTTTTGACAGGTTGAACCCGAAAGTAATCCATTTATTAGTATTTAAATATATGAGAGGATGATAAGTCAAAAATGATGTATGGTAAGGGTAATTATGAAAAATTATATTTTTCATTATATTTGTTAAAGGACAAGACTTGACAGCAGGTGTCAGTGTAATTTCAGAAAATTGAAGGGGTGTCTCTGTAATTAGTCCAATCTCCAGAGTATCAGTGTAATTTACCCTATTTAATTTTATCAAATTAAAACCACATTAATATTCTATTTCATCAAATTAAAATCAAATTATTTTCAATTTTGTCAAATTAACATTGAACTTGTGTTGGTCTTGTAGACCAACTCTTCTATTGTTGATGGTATTTGGAACTATAAGAAATGCCTACTATTTTAAATAAGAAGAGAGAATAAGATGGCATCATATTGATTCAATCTTGGTGTATATATAGAACTAGGAGTAAAACAGGTAAATCATAGGAAGATTAACCATCACATCATAAGTTTTTTTGCATGTCAAGAACGAAATAGATGGTAGGGGTGGTTTCTAAAACACATATATAAACTATAAGGGTGCGCAGTGATATTTCAAAAATTAGAAGTGGTATCAGTGAAATATGACCTAAATCTAGGGGGTGTTAGTGAAATTTACCTAATAAAAAATTTTGTCTCAAAGTAAACCACTTGAATTTATTAAAAAAACTAAGATTAATGAAGTGTAGTGTATAAAGTTTGTTTTACATTGAAAAGAAACAAAAACCTTGGTGAGTTAACATACTCCTAATTGGCTTCTTAGGTTGAGACTCAAGAAGTATCATACATTTGTAAGCGGAGTGAGCACCAACACAACCTTGAAAACCACACATACTAGCGTCGTCCACCTCACCATGAACCAATAAGGCTTGGGCCTTGGGTCAACAAAATCCTTTCCTTTTGCTGAAAATTTATTTGGTACGATGCAAATTGTGGGTCATACTTCTAACCAAAATATAAATTTTTTGTTCGTTAATTATTTGTTGGTTTTGGAGAGGAGTCTGTTCATTCCTAGAGACGTATTTCATTACTGTTCGATTAACAGTGTGTCTTGTCAATTTGAAGAGACACAACAAATAGTAGTGTCTCGTACCTCTTCAAGTAATTCGAACAGAGACAAGATGGTTTATAAAAAGACTATCTTGAAGTCATTTTCATGTATGAAAAACAGATGGTAAATTCCTACATGTTGTTGCATATGTACTCTCTTT